GTAGATGTTAAATAGCAAAGGGGACAAAATGGACCCCTGCGGAACTCCATGGCATAACTGCCATGGCGCAGAGCCATAGTCCCCCAGCACCACCTTCTGAAATTGGCCATTGAGATAGGAGCGAAACCACCGCCATGCGGTGCCTCCAACTCCCAATCCTGCTAGCCTATTCAGAAGGATACTATGGTCGATGGTATCGAAAGCTGCTGAGAAGTCCAGGAGAACTAACAGGGACGCACTCCCCCTGTCTCTCTCCCTGCACAGGTCATCGTACAGGGCGACCAAGGCAGATTCAGTGCCATACCTGTGTCTGAAGCCGGACTGAAATGGGTCCAGATAATCAGTTTCATCCAAGAGTGCTTGGAGTTGTCCCACCACCACCCGCTCTAGCACCTTGCCCAGGAATGGGATGTTGGCCACCTGTCTATAATTGGCGGCCACCTCTGGATCCAGGGATGCCTTCTTTAGGACTGGCCGGACTACCACCTCCTTTAAAGGGCAGGTACCCAGCCGTCTCTTAAAGAGGCATTGACCACCTCCAGGATCCAGGTCCCAATCCCGTCCTTGGCTTTGTTAAGTAGCCAAGATGGTCAAGGGTCCAATAAGCAGGTGGTGGGACGTACTTGTCCAAGCACCTTGTCCACATCATCAGGCCGCAACAACTGAAATTCATCCATTAATTATAGCACTAAGTTAAAACATTTGTGTAACATAACTTGGCCTTTTTCTTTTATTTTTTACAAAAGTGTTGGAAGAAGTGGTGCAGAAATCTAAATCTGCCATTTGTGGCTTCCAGATGAGTACTGGTCCTTAGAAATAAGCAATTCCTGCATTATGTTTGTGTGTCATATTTTTATAGTACTTGATTGGGGTGGTGATTAGATCTCCATGGAATAGGCCTCCGTTGACTCAGTGTAGATTTGGAACTATCTACCAAAGTCAGGGCATTTTCCTCACTGTGGACCAAAGTGGGAGTATGATAAGGCTTTCTCTGAACATAGCTTAGCAATTTAGGAGGCAATATTTTGCCCTTAAATTTAGATATTAGTTTTTAGGGACATGTTCTATGGAGATGAGTATATAGTTTCATATGTACTAGCATCACGTTCCTAACACCTAAAGAACCAGCTAACAAGGTATTTTCAGACTCACTTTTAGATTGATTGCCAGCCTCTTCTAAAGAACTGACTTAGAGAGTTCCTTCTGATGCACAGTATAGATATCAGTTGGTACGTTAAAGAAAAAAATAGACTTTTAGATTACAGTCCTAATGTAGCAAGTAGCCCTATTTGCCATCCAAGTTTATATATTATTATTATTATTAGAACATTTCTATGCCGCCCCTTGCCGAAGCCTCCGGGCGGCTTACAACACAATAAATATAACTGACTGACTGTCCCTCTTTTTGTGTATCTGTTTTGCAGAGGAATTAGTAGATAATCAGAGTTCTTGGAGAACAGCTGCTGAACGGAACATACATTCAAACATACAGGAAATGAGAAGCATGGTTCCAAAATCAAAACCACTGAGTCCTAATGAAAGCGATGATGTCATCATCGAGGAATTTATACCAGATGACCCTCAGCCCATGCTGACAAGTAAAGCCCCTGACACCACTGCCCAAGATGATGTTGAGCAACCACCTAATCTTGGCTTTATAACAACAGATTTAACTCAGAGTGACATGGAGATTTTCTCTCTGTGGAACGGTAATTGGCTATTTCTGCTCAAGTTTTAATAATGTTTAACATCTAGTTTTAACATAAATCTCAGCCTTCAACATTTCGCAGAAGAAAGTCTTGTCACTCCTTTCCAGAGGTGATGCTACAGGCAGAATTCGTGCGGATGGAAACAGTGGGCCAACATAATCTAGACACCGTGGACCATGGTCTTCAGGCAGATGTTACCAAATATTAAAAGTAGTGAGACAAGCCATATAATACACAGCAAGCCAACACGTATATAACACAAATATATGTGCTATATTGCATTTATACTCTTCAGGGGCACCGATCCCATTTTGCAGCTGAGAACACAAACGTGCCAGATTAAGAGTGCCTAAGAACATAAAATGCATGGCACAGAATTCTTAAACAGAATAAAACAGTTCTTAGTACTGCAGAATGTTGGTTACTTATCACTGACCTCTGCTTGTTTTGATTTGTGCATAGAAATCACCTCACCATAATTCAGCCTGGATATCTATTTCAATACCAAGTCTGTTTCATTTCCTAAAATATAGAAAGAAAGCATCTTTGCCTCAGCACTGAATAACCTCCCCCTGCCCTAACATTCAGGAGAACTTTGCCCCTGAGCATAAGCTTAGGCAGAATTTTCATCATATGACCCCACTTACCATATCCTTCTACAAAACAGATCAACTACTGTTTACTCATTCCCCTCACCTTATCTATTAACATAACAAAGCCACTTAAAAAAAAACATTTTAACAACATATAAGCATAGTGGAAGAGGATGCATTTTTAAATGTTTGAGTCATTGTTTCATCAATATTTATTTATTTATTTAAAATATTTGTAGGCCATCCATTACTATCGTCTCTGGATGGCTTACAACATTATTTCAATCTTGAATAAAATAAGTTAACTATTCCACACTGAGCATTATTTAAAATAAATAAGTCTTGCACCATTAAAATTACAATATGTTAAAATATTGGCCAAATAAAAAGGTCTTGACCTGGCGCCAAAAAACATATAATGACGGTGCCAGGTGGACTCCTTTAGGGAGCGTATTCCATAGTCGGGGCGCCACCACAGAATTAGACACTCTGTCTGTGTGAGGGAGGGAGGGAGGGAGGGAGGGAGTGGGGAAAACACTTCCACAACCTCAGATGCCCCTGCCTCCACACCCCTGCCCTTCACTGCTGCTCTTAGAATGGGATAAGGAGAAGCTGAGCATCCTAACCAAGAGTGAATCGATTTTCATTTAAGACTTTGGGATGGAAAGTTTAGAAATAAAAATTAGTAAAACCCTTTCAAATAACACATTTTATGCTCCAAATTGCAAAGCTAGTTGTTATTTGGCAATCATTATCTTTTACAACACTGCTACTCATGTACTATCAAAATATATATACACTTGCAGATATACAACTTTGGTAGGGAACTGGTTTATGATGTCTGTCATGACACAGGTGGATATGTACAGAAAAAAAAGAGTTGAATAAAGTCCTGAAGTTCAGGATCATGAAAGGTAGCATTTGCTTTTTTGGGTTCTGGGCTGTGAAATGCATAGTTGCTGTCATCCCCACAGACCCAAACATGTATGGAAATGTTTGTGTACAAAGATACATAACTCCTTTTTACCTACCAGAATCTAAATCTTGTGAGATGTAAAGTTAAGGGAAAAAATGCAATGCCCTTATTGTTTCTATATTTGTAGGACAACTGGAGAAAAGCAGGTGTAAAGAGAAGTGATTCTGAAAAGAAAAATGGGAGGCGATTAAGCAACCGCTCCTTTCCTGATGTTCTTCCATTTAATTTTTCAGCATCCCAAGGCTGCTTTTGGTTGGGTGAAGAAAGAAGAGTCTTGATTAAATTATATGCAGCTGCATGTGACATAACACTTTGGCTCTTAAAAGCACACAACTTAGGGAAAGCTTTGCCCCATATTTTATGTTGCCTCCATTTTAGAAAAGTTGATATCTGGATATCCTTTCTACTATGTCAGTTAAGAGCAGGCTGGATTGTTTGTTAATTTCCTTGGCTTTTCATTTAAATATGCCAACCCTAATGTAACAAGATGATGTTAATGGTATCTATTGGCAGGATATCTTATTGCCCCAGCTGCTAGTTCTGTATAAAATGTCTCTTATCTATCTTCCTAGCTACATAACCACCCATCTAATATTATTTCTAAGCTGCCTTTAAAGATGGGACATGTAGAACATGTGAACCCTGTCTTTTGGCCATCAACTAAGTTGCTCTTTGTTTATAGTCTATTACTATAGACTATAGTCTTATGTCCAAACATTACAGAAATACTGTACTGTTAAATGATAATATTTTTTCAGTAGCTTTTAGCAGCATTTGGGCTGTTCCTCAGGAATACCAGCAATGGATATTGGGAGCAATGTGAAACAGTACAGTAAGTGTCCTTCCACCCCCACTAAATGTGGAGGCTTACATACATCCTATGCCCTGAAGGAAGTATGTCTGCTGCACCTACACCCAGATTTTTATTTTCAGCCATTTAGATAAAGTGCTCTGGAGGGGAAGGGAAAGAGAGTGAAATGCCCATTTTCAAGGTCTCCATCCCAGCATCATCTCTCCCCCTTCCCTGTACCCCTCCTTTCTTCCCTCTAAAGTGCATTTCTGTCCTTGTGGGAAATAGCTGGTGCTTATGCAGGGTTAGGGTGGTGTCCCAGCTGCAGGATAGCAGGCTCTTGCAGCTGGAACATCAAATAATCCTGCAGCCCCCAGACAATTTGGGGGGGCATTGGATCGCTCCCCAAGAAAGACAGGAAATCTCAGCAGGGGATGGAATGGATAGCCAGCTTATGTACAAGGAAGAAAGTCTTAACTCCTAGGTTTGAGTTCAGAGATCAAGCAATTACTGCTTCCAGAGAACTAAAGTTAGTCCTAGATTTAAGCTAGTATCTGCTAGTAAACCATGGCATGATTATTTAGAAACTATTATTTTCCCATGCAGAAAAATAATATGGGAAAAGACTAAGAAGCTTTGTACACATCATCATGTGTGACAAGAATACAGGCATGTATGCATACAGATGCATGGATCAGCACATGCATCTGTGGAATTGTAGTACAGGACCTATAATATAGCACCTGCTTTCTGGAATTTTCACAATATCTGAAATGCATAGTGTCTAAAGAAGCTGTGACTTTAATGTAATGGAAGGTAGGAAGCTGCCTTATACTGAGTCAAACCATTGGTCTGTATAGCCCTGTGCTGGTGACACCGACTGGCAGCAGCCCTTCAGGGTTCCAGGCAGGGCTCCTTCCTAGCCCTATGGGAAGATGCTGGGGATGGAACCTCAAACTTCCCACATGCAAACCAAGTGCTTTACCACTATGCTAGAGTCCCTCCTAAATGCCTGCCATTTTTCCATGCAAAACCTGTCATTTCTTCCGCACAAAATACAAATTTGCATGTTTTTTGTCCATTTTTATTCTCCTTTCTGCAGAGGAAGTTATGAGGCGTGCAGCTGAGCAGCAGAAACAAGATCAAAGAAGAGTGCCTGATGATACAACATTGCAAGTAGCAATACCAGAGAAGCAGGATTTAGGTTGTCAAGGAAATGAAGGAGCTGGAAACTTTATCCTACAAGTAATCTCATTTGACTCCCCTTCTGTAGCATGTGGAACTGAAGCAGGACCAAACTGTAGTGCAGGGCAGCAAGAAGTCACCAATACCCCTGACGCAATGAATGATAGCAGTACACCATCCAGCGAGTGTCAACAGAATGAAACAAACCTAGATGGAGCTGTAGCTCTGTCTGTCACATCCCTGAGCTATGGGGTCTTCAAAATACCTGAGTAAGTCTAGCCTGTAGTGTATAGACTGCACTGTGTTCAAGCATCTAGGACTGGTATCAGATAGAAGGTAATCGAACACAAATAAACATGAATCTTTTGGCTGCTGTGTGTTCAGTTTTTAAGGGGAAAATGCCTATTATGTGATTAGTTGACAGAATTTTCAACATTCATTTGTTACTGTAAAATAAGATCATTCTTCATAAGTTCACCTTATTGTTAGAAGTGAAATAATCCCTACCAGTTCCCCACCCCCACCCAAATGTGTTTTTGTTTGTGGAACTTTCCTACATACCACAAGTTTAAAATGTAATTTTATATTTTATTTAATTTATATCCTGATTTTTTTCTTTCAAGGAACATAATTCTCCTCCTCTCAATCTTATCCTGCCCTGGGAGGTAGGTTGGGCTGAGAGTCTCTGACTGACCCAAAGTCATCCAGTGAGCCCATGGCCAAGTGGGGACTCGAACTCAGATCTCCTGAGTCACATTTTTAACCACTATATCACACTATACCACAATGGAACTGTGGGATAAATTACACAAAAAAGAAAGATAGAATTATATTTTATTAAAATTTTACTAAGTTATTACTTGGAACAGAAAGGAAGAGAAAATATAACACAGTATTGGTAGGCAAAGTTCTCTTCTGCTAATGTAGTCAGTACTTTTGAACTAAGGACAACTGGTGTACGAGTTGCCAGCAAAAGCATTATAGCTACAGGAAAAAAGCAACAATTCAAGCTGTTGTCCTTCAGAAAGTTACTGCCGACACGTCTGATTCAGATACAGCAGTGTGATTAGTCTGAGTATATATGCAGCGGTATGTGGGAGTGAGCCTTGGGCTCATGTATTCTTTCAGGTATGTGTGAATTCTTTGAGATATTTACATACATAAATTCTGACATGAGTATAGATGCTGCTCACATATACAGGGCATATTCTCATGTCATGCTGAGCCATCCTGTGAATAAGCCATGGTGGGTGATCATTTGTGGAACAAGCCACAGCATGCCCAAGACCACTGTGCTTACTATGGGTTGTTTTTCCCTCTCCGTCCTCCAGCCTTTTTTCATCTGATTCAGGCGAAACAATGGAAGTGCTAAATTGCTGCTTGGAGAAACTCATGGACCAATGAGGGTCAATAAACTGAAGGGCAATCCAGACTAGATGGAGGTGCCGTTGTTCCACGATTCATCTGTATGGATTAATGAACAGATGTGATAGGCATGATTTCAAACCTGAATTTGCAGAGTGCTTAAGTTGCCTCTGTGACAGAAAGTCCTTTTTGCTAGTCCCAATAGAAATAGCCTAGTTATCCATGTTCTGGTTGTACAGACTATTGTAACACAATATAAATGGGACTGCCTTGAAGACTTTTCAGAAACTGCAGTTCAATCTACAGCTTCTAGTATGCAAACTGGGATGTTATACTCATATTGTGCCAGTATTCCCTCAAGTGCAGTCACTACCAGCCCATTTCCAAATAACTATTCACCTTTAAAGCCCCTTGAAGTTTGGGACCACGGTGCCTGAAGGACTGCCTGTCTCCCCAGATGCTTGCCCAGACAGTAAACTCTTCAACAGAGGCCCCCCTGAGTTCATCTGTTATCAGAGCTACACTGAATGGTGTCATCCCAACTGTAGAATACCAGTCCAATTCATATATAAATGTCATTTCAGTACCAGGGAAAAGGTTAAGTTTAACCATTTTAATCTTTTTCCTGATTAACACTATCCCTTTTAAGTTGTAGTTTTTGGTTGTAATTGTATGTATTTTATTTTGAAAGCTTACAGGTCATCTGGTAAACATGCTTCAAGGGTGGAGTAAAATAAATAAATACTTTTCAGTGGGAAGGCTGCCCCACATACCAAAGACCACTGAATAACATCCTTAAAGATTTTCTTCTACACCTAATGTTCAAGTATGTGGCAGCCCATCCCAAGCAGCATTTTGTGAATTACAGGGGAAAAAATACTTGCCAACTATCTAGCTCCAATGATCTGAAGTGTATATATAGAATTAATACAGATAACATGCCAGACCATGGTTTGTGCTATTCACCCTAGAACCCAAACCATGGTTTGTGCTGTTTCCCTTGTCCCTTGCCTTCTATGGGACTCCCTAGATTGATAGGAAACAGGTGGCTGGAGAACAGCATTCGTGAAAGGATCTTGGTGCACTTGTCAACAGCTGGTTAAGCATGAGCCAGCAGTGTGATGTGGTGGTTAAGAAGGCTAACACCAACCTTGAATGCATAGCCAGAAGCATGGCTTCTAGATCGAGAGACATCTTAATACCATTCTATAAGACTCCGATGCACCTACAACTGGAATACTGTGTCCAATTATCGACTCCACACTATGAATGAGACATAGCTAAGCTAGATTCAGTTCAGTGCAGGGTCACAAGTATTGTAGCCAGATTGGGGGGTGCCTTATGAGGTGAGATTGAGGGAGCTGGATCTTTTCATCATGGAGAAGATTCCAGCCACTCAGAGGGGATCTTACAGTGGCATATAGGTAAGTGAAAGGGATCACACAGTTGAGGGTTGTGACCTATTCTCCCACACTGGTTCAATGGGGCAAAGCTCAAGGAACCAGGTTCAGGTTGGATGTCAGGAAGTACTTCCTGACAGGACCCATCAGATATGAAATGGGCCTCTACAGGAAGTGAGGGAGGCCCCATCAGTGAGGGTGTTCAAGAAAAGACTGGACAACCACATGTTGGGTATTACATGAATAGAGCTGACTGGAGCCTGGGGTCAGACTAGATGCCCCAGCAGGCCCCTTTTGGCTTGCCATGTTTCAGTGTAGTCCCAGTTATTAATCTGGCTGTTGTATTTTTCACAGACTACAGCTTCTAAACAGACTTCAAGGGGTAACCCATGTAGTTATATTATTTGCAAGGTTGTGCTAGACCCATTGCGACCCCATGGACAAAGAGTGCCCTGCAATAATGTAATTTAGAGATTACCAGAGTGTAGATTACTGAAATCAGGCTATTTCTGTGCAGATAGGGGTACAGATGGGCCACCAGCCAAAACTGTTGGAAGATACTCGTTGCCACTTAAGCCACCTGAGCCTCAAGTGACAAAGATGGTTCAAGGAGCACCCCCAAGCTATGAGCCCTCTCCTTCAGGGCGAGTGTAACCCCATCCAGAACAGGGTGAATTCCTTCCATCTGGTCAGAAGAACCACCCACTAGCATCATCTCAATCATGTTTGGAATGAGCTTCAGTTTTTAGCCCTCATCTAGTCCATTGTTACAGCCAGACACAAGGAGAAATAGAGCTGTGTGTCATCAGCATAATGATGGCAGTGCACTCCAAAACTTGATGGCCCCATTCAATGGTTTCATGTACACGTTAAATAACAAGGGGGATAGGAGTGATCTCTGAGGAACCCAATGCTGGAGAATCTGTGGTGCTGAGCACTATTTCCCAAACATCACCCTCTGGAGCTGTTCATCCAAGTAGGAGTGGAACCACTACAATGGAATACCACCTGCTCCCAACTCAGTTGCTCCAGAAGGATACCATGGTTGATGGTATCCAAAGCTGGTGAGAGGTACAGGAGAACCAAAAGGGTCAAACTCCCCATCTCTCTCCCGGCATAGGTCGTCATACAGGGTGACCAAAGCTGTTTCTGTGCCAGAACCAGGGCTGAGCCCCAACTGAAATGGATCCAGATAATCAGCCTCATCCAAGAGTGCCTGGAGCTGGTGGCCACCACCCCGCTCAAGCACCTTGCCACAGGAGGGAACATTTACTACTGGACTGAAGTTAGGATCTTCGAGGTCCAAGGATGGCCTCTTGAGGCATGGTTTCACCATCGCTTCTTTCAGGTGGCACAGGACCAATCCTTCTGACAAGTAGACTTAAACTTCCCTGGCCCTGAGGCTGCTTCCTCTCTTGTGTTCTTTCCCCTTTCCAAAAGGATAAATTTTGGAAATTTCTTCAGTACATATAGCAATGGCTTTCATCTACAATATGCAGAGTCTTATTTTTTTAAATGGTGTTTTTTGGTTTCACCCACCACCAGCATGCAGCCCCCAAAAGCTTTTCAAAACCTGAATGTGCATATTTGGCTGTATTAAGAAATGTGCAGAAAGTTCCAAGAGACCGCCCTTCCCAAAATCTGAACCATGGTACTGTTAATGTATAGATGATGAGAGGAACAGGCAGTAAGTCTAGCAAAGCTGGTTTGCCACTCTCTTCCACAAGATTACAGTACATGGAGCTTAAAATAAGCACTTCTACATTTTAAAACAGATTGCATTGTTTCTGGAAACAAAACAGAAAAGATAACCTTATGCAGAGTCCGTTAATTTGCCCACCTAGCCCACCTTCGACCCTGTCAGCAGCAATGGCTCTCCATGGCTTCAAGTCACGTCTCTGTCTAGTTCTGTCTAGAGATGCCCAGGATGAAACCTTGTGCATGCAAAGCAGGTGCTTTCTGAGCACAAGAAGGGTTTTTCTTTCCCCAATTTGCTCTTCCCTCACTCCCATATACAATTTTTCCACTGTAATTTTTGAAATCCTACAAAATGCAGTGGAGAGGGCACGTTCCACCGAAGGGTTCACACTTTTGGCTCTAGCCTTCTACCGCAGGCTCTCTACATTATCAGACTCGCCTGCCTTCCAAAGGCCACTACCGCGACCCTCACTCAGCTCGCGGGCGCAGGAGGCCGGACGCGCAGGTGACGAATCTGCAGGTCTCCTCAAGGGCGACCGGAGTCAGGCGCAACTCTGCTTCCGCTCGACTACCTTCAAGAGGCTCCCGCAGCGCACCCCGCCTCGTCACAAACGCGTTGCGCGGCCACGGAAGCAGCTACTCCGCGCTTCTCCTGCCCTTCCTTCTGGCGACCTACAGGCTGGAAAGCTTTGTGCTCGCTGAAGGGGCGGGGCGGGGAGACCCGGGCCTAGGGCCACGGAAGAGAGCGAATTCGGAGCGCTCGCCCAGCTAGCGGCAGACCGGCTTTCGAGGCTCCGGATCAGTGTGCTGCTCTCTTGGGAGATACAGCAGGGAAAAGGAGCGTTCCTCCCGTGGCCGAAAGGTACGCGCAGGAGTGGAGGGAGCACGGTGCAGTCCAAGCGGCTGCAAGGAGCATTCACGGCGAGGCCGAGTTCGCTCTGCCTTCTTCGCCTCTCGAGGCTAGAGAATGGCTGGGCTCTCCACCCGACCACCCTCTCTCCGGCGTCTTGCGTTCCTGCCGGGGAACGAACCAGGCTGACTACTATTGCCTTCTGCGCCGTTGGAAGCCCTGGGTCTTCTGGCTGCCTGTCCGGCTTTGGTGCCGTGCCGGCGTAGAATGAGCTGCGGAGCCGGAGATCTGGGAAGGTGACTTTGCGGAATTGGACCGCCCTAATCAGTGTGCTGGGAGGGAAATGCACTTCTTCACTCTGTTGTTAAGAACGCAGAGGTTTTGCCAGTGTAAAAAACCAAAACACGAAATCAAATCAAAATGGTAACACTCCAGGATTGATGAACGATTCTGATCTGGCACTATTTTTCTGAATATGTAAGATGGTTAAGTGACAAAACTTTTTCTTGGCACTCACAATTTGATCCTGGAGTGCATGGGTGCAAGGATGCGTTTTGCTGAAAGTTGGTCATGAATATTTCAATATTGGTGGGCTGCACCTGATAGAATCGAATAGACTCTGCTTTCTAAACAAACTTGTTATCCTTTACATAGACAAAGGCTTTTCTACTCAGTTCCCTCTAGCTGGTGCCACTTAGGCCAGGTGCAGCGGGTATTGCCTTAACTACTCGCAGGATCCTGCCAGGAGCCACAACCCTTTTAGACTAAATGTTAGAGTTTTTATATGCGCTTATAATGAGCATGTGCATTGGCTTTAGGGTTGAAACGCATGCTCGGTAGGTTCGGAGTATACTTAAACCCCGGCGGATTAAAGTTGCAGGTGCGGCGGAGGCGGCTCAGATTAGTAACGCCTCCTCGTGTTCCGCACTCGGCCCTCTAGCCACACTCGCGGGACGGAGCAGGAGAGTCGCCGCAGGCGGCTCCTCGCAGCACCTGCCTGCTGCTCCCACGCCTGGCGCTGCTGGCGGCGTCAGCAGGAGCGAGCGGCGGGCGATCCGGGCCGCGAGGCAGAGCAGCCTCGCGCTGAGCTTCCGAGCCAGGGCGGCGCAGCAGCACCGCTGGCCCGGCAGCGCTATGGCCAGGCAGTGGGGGAGCGCCTTCCCGCCTTCGGTGACGTGCTCGCGACTGCACAGCCTCCTCGGGAGAACGCGATGCCCCGTGTGCAGGCCCCTGCCCTCTCCAGCCGCGGCGCTCGCGTTACCGCGCCAGCCGGGGGTGGGAGGGCGAGCAGGGGTCGGCCGCTGGCCCTTCCCAGGTCCTGATTGGAAGCGGAATGCGCACGGGGTAGGCAAAGGGACGGGGAGAAGCGCCTCCGCCGCCGCCCCCCCCCCCCGGCAAGTACCCCCTCTGCCCACACTCGCCAGCGCTATGCCTCGCTGCGCGCCTCCGTCGCCGCTCTGCCGCGTGACGGAAAGGACGAGCGGTGCGCCGCTGGCCTCCAAGGACAGGCGGCTGGAGTGAGGGGCGCTGCCGAGGAAGGCGAGCGGCGAGGTTTGTTTTGTCTGTCGCTCGGGTGGAATCCAAGCCCTTGACCTCCCTTGCTTTTTGAGTATGATTTTGATAACGATAACATTTGAATAAAAGAGGGTAAGAATAAAACAAAAAGTAGTAAAGAAACACCAAGGTACTTAAATATTACCTAGAATGTCAAATACAAAAAATTCCGCTATAAATAAAAGCTTATTATCCTTACGAGTCGCATATTTGGAATTCAATAGAGTCATTGAAAATTTCTTCTGACTTGGCATTCTTAACTTATTCACCTTGACTCAACTTGATGTAACAACGAAGCATTAATACAAACTTGAATTTCTAACAATAATATGAGAGGTTATATTATCCTGTCATTATCCCTATTAAAAATTAAGTAAAATACAATTTCCTTTTTAATTTTTTTACTGTTTTCTTAAAGGGAGAAATGTAAAAGAAAAATAAGAATGCCAAGGGATCTTACACAAATATAACATATACATTCATAACCTGCAAATTCCTCAAAAAGCCAAAAATACCTATTTTTCTGTCAACTAGTACAGTTGAAGCTTGCATGTAAGATGATTATAGTTTTTTAAATCTACAAATTTTTCAATCACTTCAAATCATTTATAAATCACCAACAGTATTTTAACGAGCTTCTTTTTGATCTAAATTAAACTTCATATAATAGAATTTTCATTCCTCATTAAATTCTTTAATTGGTCTACTGTTTATATACAGTGGTACCTTGGCTCACGAATGCCTTGGCTCACAAACAAATCTGGTCACGAACAAAAATTTCTGAAAAATTTTGACTTTGGTCATGAACACTGCTTTGGGTGGCGACCAAGATTGCAGCCATCTCCCCCCACCCCCCAGTGGAGAGATGGCCACGATCCCAGTTCCATTAGTGCAGGGAAGGCGTCCGTGATCAGAGGCGTGCGGCTGCACGAATGACACATGGATTCGCGGCTCTGCTTTGCTGCACCCGTCTTGAGTGCAGCCGCGCGCCTCTGATCACAGTTTGCAGTTGCTTTTGTGCAGGGAAGGCATGGTGATCAGAGGCGCGCGGCTGCAGGAAAGATGGGAGCAGCAAAGCAGAGCCGTGGGGGAGATGGCCGAGATTCCGCCTGTCTTTCCTGCAGGAGCCACCTCTGATCACACATGCCTTCCCTGCATGAATGGAACTGCAATTGCGGCCATCTCCTCACCCCCAGCGCATCGTTTACGCCCATCTCTCCCTCCTCAGTGTGCCCGCAATCACACCCGTCTCTCCCCCCCCATTCCCCAGCGCGCCGGGATGTCGGGTGCCTGCAGGGATGACAGGTGGGATCTCGGTCGTGCTGGGGGGGGGGAGCGGGGAGATGGCTGCACTTGGGGTGGGGGGGGAAGGTGGCCGCGCTCTTTGTTGTTGTCACTCTGTTTCAATTTTTTTCTGATTTAAAAAATGGTTACAGAATGGATTAACCTTTTTTACATTAAACCTTATGGGGAAATTTAACTTGGCTCATGGCCAATTTGGGTCACGACCAGAGTCCTGGAACAGATTAAGTTTGTGAGCCAAGGTACCACTGTAATTGGTTAATTTTGTCATCACTGCATACTCAGCCAACTTACTTTCTAATCTTCCATTGTTGCACATTCTGCTATTTTCCATTGAGAAGCAATTGTAATTCTTGCTGCAGTTGTCATATATTTAAATAACTCTGACATGTTCTTTGAAAAAGGCTGGCATTATATTAAAAAGCATATTCTTAGGACTCATAGAAAAGTTTTAAAGGTTTTATGTATTCCTACATGTATCAACTTACACAATATTTTAATTTTATCACAAGTCCACAATATATAGTAGGACGTCCCTTCTACTTTTTTACATTTCCAACATTTTCCATTATCTTGCCCATTTTTCTATAGACTTCAAGTAAAAAGCTTCCCATTGGTGGGAAGATATTTCTTCTCCAAGGTTCTACGTCCACACTTTCATACATTTCTTAATTTGCAGAGTTTCAGTGTCAAATTGGAGTAATTGCTTGTAAAATCTTCCTAACAAGTGATCACTTTGTTGTATAATCAGCTTTTCAAATTCCATTAGGTCTCTTACAGTACCTTTCCTTGATTGGATTTTCTCCATCAGTATTGAAACTAATTGGTAATAAATAAGCCATTCTATATTTTTCCCTTCATCTTTTAGTTTTGCCAAAAGCTTAACTCGTCCTTGTTGATTAGTCACATCCCGATAGGTTTTAAGATTGTTGGTTTTCCTTGAATACATTCCATATGCTTCAACTGAGGTAATCAAAAGAGAAATCAGAGGGCTAATTCTTCTTATAGAAAACCAAATTTTTATGAAGCCATTTCTTAGTACGTGATTATTGTTTGATGTCAAGGCTTTTTTAATTGACACTTTGGCCCATAAATAATTATGTATTCCTTCTTCAAAATCTGCTATTTCTAGCTTTAACATTTCCAATCCTGTTTGAAATCCAAACCAAGCCAGCTGCATAATAATATGGGTGCTACAAGACCTTTCTTTTTTTATCTTAAAGAGTTTTAAATCTAATCCTTAGCTTTTTACCATTTCAAATAATAGTGCTTAATTGTCTTTGCCACTCTTGGAGGGTTTTTCCCAATATAGAAATTAATATAATCTGAAAAATAAAAAATAATTTGGGTAGTACATTCATTTTTATAATAGAAATTCTTCCTAACCATGGTACTTTAAATTTAGTCAATTTTTGTAGATCTTTTTGAACCTTTGTTTTATAGTTATCTTGAAATAATGTGTCATTATATCCCATTATGTTGATCCCTAAATATTTGATGCGATTTGAGTTATTTTGCATCCTGAAGGCTTCTTTATATTTTCCTCTTCCTGTTTTGTTGCAAATGTTAATATAATCTTCATTTTCTTATTGATCTTATAGCCTGAATAAAATCCTTTTTTCAGTTTGGTTTATTGTATCCTGTATACTGTATACATGGATATGGATTTAAAATTATTTTTTCTGCTTTCCATTTTGAAGCAGTTTTAACTCTAGTCACAATTGTCATGTATTGAAATAATTATTCATCTTAATTCAACTTAATATAGCAATGAGCATAAGAGTTCTCTCTAATAATGTCTTCAAAAATTCTATTCCACTTATATATCTCTACTTGCTATAACAGCAAAACATAATTATAAACATCAATATCTGACAATAATTTCAAAATTATTTGAAAAATAATTTCAAAATTTTCACGCCATTAATGTATGACCTTCCCTTCTGTTGATGTAGCAAGGCTGGTTCCTCCTCTGTGCACCACCTCCCAGCCCCAAAACAAGATTTGAGGGGGTGGCACATGGTGGCATTCAGTGGGATCTCCCCACACTCCCCACACCAACTGGTGTATGTGGGAGGGGAGAGAGCAAGGCTGCTTATAAACCACTCCTCAGGAAGCAGTGGGGTTCACCCCACAAACTACTGCTAACTCTTTATCCCATGCAGTAGCATGCTGGACTATCCTAGTCTTTCTGTATGTGTATGGGGTAGGGAGGGGTATAGTATGTCATAGTCACAATCCTATGGAACTGAAAGTCCCAAAGTCAGAAGTTTGCAGTCATTGTATGCAGAGTAGGAATGGTGGAGATGGTCTCCCCATCCTCCTGCCCTGCATTTTTAGGGGGGAAATAAACTGGGATACGCAAGACTGAAAGAAGATTGTTATGATTTCATATGATTTTTAAAGCGGATACCTCTCAACATCAAATCACAGAGTACATCTGCCTCAGTGGATCAAATCATAAAAGTCATGGTTATGGCACAAAACATGGATTAGAGACAGGGTTCCTCCTGACCGCTTATGGGTTTTGAAGGGAACTTCCTGCAAACTACAATCATATCACAGCAAACATCTGCTTCCGCAGACTGAAGCATAAACATCAATCTTCAATTTATGGAGGTCACCATGGTGCAAAAATGTGGAGCTGAGGCACCAATGAATCTGCAAGATTTTTGCAAGGAATGTCCTGCAAGCTACCATTCAGGCACAGAGCATTTCTGTTTCCATGGACTGAACCATGAAAACTGTAGGTCTGGGACTTGCCAGCATTGTCGAGGTGCAGAAACTTGGATCAGATCAAAGAACACATCCATGTCCAGGTAATGAACCCTAAAGATCATGGAACTGGGGCATCATGGAGCTACCATGCTGTGAAAAAACATGGATATGGCACAGTTCAACATGCATCCTCTCCATTTTTATGTTGGATTCTCCCACCACCACTTTAAAAGATCAACAAAGGAAATAAATCATCTGAATTCAAGCGCCCACACTAAAAATTCCAGATCTGCTGTTTCACATCCTGGTTTGACCAATAATGCAAGCCTTGGATCATGATGAATCATATATAATTATAGGCTTATAGAATAGTTGAGTTGAGACCATCAGAACCAACCACATGCTCAATGCAGGACTTAAAGCATCTAGGACAAATGACTCTTCAACTGTCTCTTGGTCACCCTCAGTGTAGGAGAGCCCATGACCTCCCTAGAATGCTATAACAGTTTAAAAGTTCACCCTGATATTTATTTATTTAAACCATTTCTACGCCGCCCCATTCGCAAAAAGCCTCGGGGCAGCTTACAACTTAAATAAACAATTATATAATTAAACTAAAAACCCGGAAACATCTCAGCACGTACATAAAAACCCCAATGAATACAATGAATAAATTAACAATTAAAATAACTTTTAAATAAAAAGGTCTTGGCCTGGCACTGAAACACGACAACGGCTCCAGGCGGACCTCTCTGGGGAGCGCATTCCATAGGTGGGGCGCCACCGCAGAGAAGGCCCTCCTCCAGGTACTCACCCTCCTAATATCCTTCACAGAGGCTCCCGGAGAAGGGCCTCCTCCGCCGATCTCAGGGGGTGGGAGGGCATATATGGACGCAAGCGCTCCTTTAGATAACCCAGAACCTGACTTCAAGTAAGGCAGGAGCACT